AGGGTTCATGGTGCTAGCTGCTTGTTTGTAATTTGGTACATCCTTTGTAAATCTTAAGGTGATTGTGGTTGAGTGTGGTTCAGTGTAATGTCTTGAACTGTCTCTTAAATGCTGGTAATTATTTGTTAGTGTCATGATTTATGAAACATTGAAGCCTATAATGAGGATGAGAATGGCAGTAGCCGGTGGGTTAGCATGGATGTGCATTTGAACCCTCTCTTCGATATTCTCTTGACTAGTTGGCTTTCATCATCATTATATATGGGTTATGCCCCTATTTAATCAATTTAATGTGTTATTTATTCCATTTAGATATGACTTTACTTTCCATTTGAAATTCCTGCAACTAAGCTAGATTTTCTCTTGATTCCTTTTTTCAACAGCAAAAGATTAATAGGTTTCTAGAATTAAAGAAAACTACTGGAAGAAGCTTTAATGCAGAAGTGCGGAATAGAAAGGAGTATAGAAATCCTGATTTCCTGCGGCATGCAGTGCAATATCAAGGCATTGATGAGATAGGAACCTGCTTCAGTAAAGATGTATTCGACCCACATGGATATGACAGTTGTGACTTTTATGATGAAATTGGTTAGTGAACTCCTGTTTTTACATGTTTCAACCTTCAACTGAATGTCCTGATGGGTGACCTTCTGTTTCAGAGTAATTATAGAATGTTATTCTTTATTAAGCGGATAGACAATTTTTATGATTTATTGCATTCTATCAATAGCTGAAGCAAGTCTGAGTGAATAAAAAATGCGAGAATAACAATAAACATTAAGAATACAACAAGTTCGAGAGTATAACTTTTTTAACTATAAGCAATTGAGTAGAAAGCGGACGAAACTAGCATTAAGTCTAGTATTTTCTGGCTTGAACGGCGACACAACTCGGCGGCACTGGTTTTCAAGGTGTTCGGCGTCATGAAATCGTGGTCAGCTAGGCTTGGAGCAGAACGCAGGAAGCCAGGGACTTAGGTAGTAGCAGTTTGTTTGATGTTCTAGACCAGGCCTACGATCTTTTGGGCCTGGAGGAAGATGATGGTGTGTTGTTGGTCCGTCCCTCTCCTGAACCGCCGCCATGGAGTGAATGAGTGGCTAGAGTTTGGAAGATGAGGTGCTGTTTTTATCAGATCAAAATGATGAGTCACGAGTGTGATGATGATTAGATCATAATGTTTGAACTACATCATCATCATTTTCATATACCCCAGTGCCGCAAAGGCTCCCACCTACGGTGGGGTAGGAGGGGGTCGGATGTATGCAGTCTTACCCCTGTACTAAAGCATAGAGAGACTGTTTCCGGATGACCCATAGTGAAAATCGCGTCCAAAATTGCATGGACTGACTGCTTCTTCAAAACAAAGAAGCGCAGACAGATTAGTGAGCCATTTTGCTTTATTCCATCATATTGTTTGAACTACAAACTCACATATTTTACAAAATGTCGACCCACAAGCAAACAACAGTTGGACCCGGTTTACCTAGGATAGCATGTAAAATACTAACATCACATCCGTAGCACTAGCCACATCATTTCCACACTACTGTCACATCATCACCAAACACATGTTTGTCTTGTTATCATCATCTTCCCTTCTTTCTTTTACTTTTTCCCTCTTTTAGTCTTTTACTCTTCTTTGGTGTTCATGTTTGTCTCTCTATGGTCTTCCAATTTCTTTATCTTTTTATTTCTTTCACTCCCTTGGACGTGTCAACTTTTCCACCCGAAGAATCTGCCAACTAACAGATACGTAGAGAGAAAGACAACAGAGAACATTTTCTTGAACCCTTCATTCCCAGACATGAAAATAGTGATGCTAATGGGATCTGAAAATATATCTCTCTTGGCCTCCATGGAGCTATTAGTTGTTTGGGATTGTGAACGAAGAAAAAGTTCTCTTGATGACTGCCCTTGAGTATAGCAACGTCTTTCTTGGCAGCAGCGACCACCGTGAGAGCGTGAGAGGATTCGTGATTTGAAATGGCATAGATGGTCTGTTATTGCACTCCGTGGTTGTCTTCGAAAGATACACTGTTGAAAGAGTGTAATAGAGATTAGAGAAGCGGAATTGGGAGCACGGAAAATAAGATAGTTGGTGATGGAGGAGAAGACAACATATCCTGCCATGATTGCCATAAAGGAGGCTGCTCTTGAACCACACTTTTATCTCCCCTCACATTTTCTTTCCTTCCAAATTCCTTGTATAATATCTCTATTTTCTTTCCCTAGAGTGTTCTGAGTTCCAAATACACCCTAAAGGAGACCAATTCCCTGTTAATTGTTTTAACAGAGGCTGATATCAGGCGCGGAATGGAGAGGAAGGAGCAAGAAAGGAGGAATAGTCCAAAAGTTGACTTCATCTCTGGAGGAACACAGCCTGGGACAGTTACTATGGGGAAACCCAATCTGCCACTCCCAGGTATTTTAGCACTTGTTTTATTAATTTATTCTAGATGTTAGATGGTTGGGATTCGGGAAGAATGTGAAGATGAAGTTTATATAATACTACCTCCATCCCAAAAAATTCTTCCCACTTACTTTTTGGGATGTCCCAAAAAATTCTTCCCATTTCCCTTTTTGGAAAGATTTCTGTGGCTACCACATTCTTTTACTTTTTTCTTACTCAACCACAACCATATATTTCCACTTTATTCCCACTTTCTTAAACTCCGATCCAAGTCAAACCAGGAAGAATTTTCCTGGACGGAGGGAGTAGTACCCTTTTTAACTAATTATAGAGTTTTTTTCTTCAAACTTGAGACTAAATATTAGAAAAAAATAGTAGAAAAATCAATCCCACCCTGCCTCTCCAAAATCCCAAAACTAAACAATTAAACAATAATCTGTCTTTGATCATTTTACTGCTACTGTGGCAGGTACTGGATTTAATGCAGCACCAACATCTGTTGATGTTATAGCTCGGGACAGCCGACACAACAAAAAGTCAAAATGGGATAAGGTTTTCATATTTTCACTTCTCTAGATTATGTTAAAGTTTAATGTAGCAAAAGGTTATCTGAACTCTCTACTCTTGCCTGCGTGTTTTCAGGTGGATGGTGATCGTAGAGATACATTATCAGCTGTTGGCGCACATGCAGCTTTGCTATCTGCTGGTAGCGGATATGCTGCTTTTGCGTAAGTTTCACATATCATATACATAAGATTTCATCTTTTCTCGACTATGGCGTTACTTATGTTACTATTACATATATACATGTGTGTGTACAAAGGTATGCATGCATGCCTCTATCGCATTTTAATAGGCCGTCATTTGAATTTTCTTCTCAAAGGTTTTCAATTGTTAACAAATATTACTCCCTCTGTCCTACTAGACTTTGCCAACTTTCCTTTTTTGTTTGTCCCAAAAAGCTTTGCCACTCTCCTTTTAAAGCAATAAATTTGTGGTCAGTTCATTTTTCTCCTCTGCACAAACCTCAACCACATAGTTTTTAGTATTCCAATTTCCCACCCAACATCAACTTGGCAAAGTTGAGTGGCACAGAGGTAACATATGTTTATGCAGAATGGTTTATCTTGAGAAAGTAATGTAATAATGTTTCTTTGTTAGGACTTCACTTGTAAAAGTACACCATTGATAAATTTCACTGAAGTTTATCATTCAAAATATTGCAAAGTTCAACATATTTGAGGTCCGAAGTCAAATGTGGCCTACTAAAGCAGGACAGAGTGGGTACAATGATTATTGATTAATAAATAGTACGAAAGGCAGAAGTGTCACGGGCCCGTGGAGCTTCTTCCTCGATTACTCTAGTTGTATAGATTATTTAGAACTACTACTAGCATTGGACTGACCTCTTGTATATACTTGTCCATACATCTACCAAGTGGTGCAACTTTTACACCAATCATACTTCTTGCTATCATTCTTCAAGTTTGTTAGATATCATAGGAATTTAGGAATGAATTGCTGCTGTAAATTATCTTGATAGGAGATTGTTCCCCACAGACATTGTAAATATAAATTATATAATTGCCTACAATGTGGGTATCAAGTGGATGGATAGATCGGACAATCTTTTAGTCAGATTATACTGGATGGATTGAAAATTATTGATTTATCATTTATGATCCATAAAAAAATCATTAAAGAGATCTTATTCATCCATCATCCGTTTTAATATAAAAATACATCCATTCATTAACACTTTTTTCACAGATGGATGTCCAATCTATCATTTTCTTCACTTTTCATGCGTAGAGATGCTTGAACCTGATATACTTTGGCATATTATGTGTGTGCGCAATATGGCATCTATGAGGAAAATTTGATGTACAGGTTTTTTAGAAGTGATTCGAAGAGTTTAAAAAATGTAACGGATGGATAGTAACTATCCATATGTAATACAAGTAGATGGATTTTTAAATTCCACTGTGGATGCTTTTGAAACTGAGTGCCACAAATTTGCTAGATCCTCTCCACCTCGTGATTGTTTCAAACAATCATTCAATATTTTTGGTTTGTTTTAGGCAACAAAAAAGGAAAGAAGTAGAAGAGAAGCGATCCTGTGACAAGAAGCTGGACAGAAGATCTTGATCACATATGTGCTGCTGCGAGGAGTAGATGCAGAACACCACCACCATGTCAGACGTATGTAAATGCTAATATGACCTCATCAAAAGATATAATACCATAATTATTGTGATTTATCAGCATGGAGTGGAAATATGGAATATAGTATGAATGTGGAAATGTTTTGATGTGAACTAAATATATGATCTTCATCCTAAACTCATCTACTTAGGCTTCATCCTTTTTTTTTTGTTACTTTCCTTTCTCAAGACATGTAATGAGTTCGTATTACAAACTGGGATCCCTGTTTTCAGATTGAATCTGAAAAGATGATTCTTTTACTCCCAACAGATATGATACAAGTTGGGGTATTGAATTGAATTACTTGGGGATTGAACCTGACGGATTGATGCAAGTATCTACTGAAATGTACACATGCATTCTTTGCATCTTGGATGCCGATAGATGCTGCTGCTTTGAGCAAGGCCAACCAGTGTTTGGCCTTCATCAATCATTCGTCGTATTCGTTCCGTAAAGGTGCTCCAGTCAATGGTCTTGTTTTCCAACAAAATGGCAGCTAGTCTCTTCTTGCTTGGCCTCAACGTCGGAGCGTGCCCGCTTCCGTAGTATGTTCTGAACCCAGAAACGAGAGATGAAAACTGGCTTCCTGAGTCAGTTATGGCGAATACGTCGGCAGTTGCGCATGCGATGAAATCCAATGCTGCAAGCTGCAAACCAGGTTGCACATAAAGTGAAAAGAATGACTTTTGACCACTCTTGTTATGGTGGTTTAACCCAGCCAACTATGTAAAGGTCATAATACCTGAGAAGAATGGTTTCGAAAAGGAGCTAGTTCGCTAGGGGATAGAAGATTCTCTTTTGTGACTAGATTGGGGTAGAGGCTGGTTAAAGGCTTCATTCTAGATTCGCCTCCGTAAATATTTGAACCAGCAAGATATATGTAAGTTTCACCCTTGAAACCAAGGCTAGCAAGAACAAGCGCTGCTTCTTCTGGTGTCAATGGACATCTTCCCCTGCTTCTTAGTTCCTTGGGAGAAATGGCCCTGCAGCCCGATACACACTACTCAAATGTCTATACCTCACAACTCAAAAGACATGATTTTGTCGAGTTAGACAGGGGTATTTTTATATTAGTATAAAACATGCCTTGATTTCTTTAGTCTTTCAAGAAGCAGAGGAAAATGGGCTTCTCTATAAGATTTGAGTGCCCTGGTTTCACTTTCACCACCACCAAATTCACACATTGAGTAAGCCAACATGTCGATTTCGAACCTCAAATGCAAAGCCAAGTACTTGGTATTTCTAAGCTCAATCCCGGGGCGATCATTAGCTATAACTTCTCCCAATAGTTGCTTGTCTAGCATGCTCTTACTGCCAGTGTGTTTTCTTATTCGTGTCACCAGTAGAGATGCAGTTTCTTGAATCTTATGTACAAACTTTAGGGCATGGAAGTTACATTTGCACCTCAGTCTCTGCCATTGGTTCATTCACAGTAATAATGAGTTGAAGGAAAACAAATAAAACATTTCACATGTTGTTCTTGGTCTGTATTTTTTTGTTTGTCAAGATCCAGCATAATAAAACCTATTTTAGGTAATATAATCTCTGTGCAGATACCATTTTTAACAAAAACATGTCAATTTTTTTGGAGTAAGAGTTTGTTCGGAAAGTAACCCCAAACAAGATTTTTCAAATATTGTTAGGTAATATAAGGCTCCTTTCGTTTTAGAAAATATTTTTCTTGAAAGATTTTTAAAGATAAAAATACTCCATCCATTCCATTCAATTATTCAAACTTATCATTTTGGGATGTCCCAAAAAATTCTTTCCATTTCCCTTTTGGAATATATTTTGGTTGGCATTTATTTACTTTTTTCTTACTCAACTTTTTTTTTTTTGAAGTGAACCTAACTTGCTATAGACGGTCAAAACTAGCATGAATTACTTACAGTTAAGATGAGCAGAAAACACTAATTTTTTATACACACAAGTTAGGGAAATGCTAGAGTTTTTTAAATCCACCAAATATCCGCTACTTCTTGTAAGCTCTACACTCGGGCGAGTTCTCTCTTAGAGGTGATAAGGGCAGCCTAGACGAGTCAACAACACTATTGAAGTCGATCTTTCTGTCGACTGGACTGCTGATCTTGGCACACGATTTTCTTTTGTTTCCCTTCTCAGAAGTACTACAATCATACATTCCACGTTATTTCAATTTTTTAAATCTTCGATCCTAGTGAACCACAGAGAATTTTATGGGATGGAGGAAGTATATTTTAGTCATTTAAGTACTTGCCCCATTTTTAATCTGGTTTAAGACATAAATTAGTATCTGATCCTGAATTGGAAATCATTGAAACAATGAAAATAAATAGCATCTTTTACACTTTGCTAAAGCTGAATTAATTTTCCTCAATCAGTTTGCTTTTATTTTTATTTTGGTTTTGTGCAATAAACATTAGTATTTTTGGATATGTTTATTTGGGAAATTAACCCTGACTAGCTGTTGAATATGACTAGCTTTTGAATGGGTTTGGCACAAGTAATTTAGTATCTGTACGTACTATAACTATTGAGTAATTTTTGGAGACTGAAAACATCTAAAAAGGATTTTTTTAGTTTTGTTTGGTTTATTTTGATCAATTAATGTAAAAAACTAGAGCTTTGCTCAGAAATGACTGTTTGAGTCTTTTGCAACATAGAATTGAAACGTAATATTAATTCTACAAGGGTGACCTGCAATTGGGGGGGCAGTGAGTGAAAACCAAGCCTATTTCCAAATCCAAGGAAATGAACAACTCCATTGCGTTGGAGCAGCGGCAGTACAGTCCTCAAGTACTCTTCTGCTTTTGCTTCCTTGGATATATCTGCATCAGTTATCTGAAACCAAATTGGTGTTGGGCTTCGTTTGGAATCCAGAAAATTTAATTTTAGATCATTTTTATTTATATATTTCACTTATTAATACAAAAAATACAAATGCATGTAATTCAGTTTCTCAGGATACTTACTACACTTTTAGCTGTTTCCAAGTCAAGTAGTTTGAGGTGGAGAGGAAGATCTTTTATGATATTTATGTCGTCTTTGAGTGTTTGCATGAAATGCTCCTCTTGATATATGTCCTCAAACTGGCTGTCAAAATCAATTTGAGTGATTCGTAAAATCAATCCACTCTCGAGGTGAATAAAAAACACTTCAAAATCCAAAAATATTGTTAATAGTTTTGAAATCAATGATTATTATATAGTAATAATAATTACTCCGTATGAGCTAGCAGCTATGTACGTAATTACGAACCTGCGGTCTTTCCAAACATTGCTGTAAAGAAATTTGGGTATGACCAATGTGGCGTTAAGTAAAGATGCCACGGCAACCGCGTTGCACACCTGTCAATCCCAAACCAAAACAGAGTGAAGAACCACTACCTAGCTACCATTTTTATTTTCAAAATTGACGACAGCTAGATTGAAATTTATTATGGAGTATGTATATATTTATTGTCAAAACATGAGAAAAGTTTGCCATAACATGTCACCAAATGGGCTCTATGTTAATTTGTTACACATTTTTTTCATAGGTAAAAGTTATCACTTTTTTAAGATTGAGCATCAATTTTAATTATGTTTAAAGAAAAACCCTTAATTATGTTACACACACAAACACACACCCTATGCGTGCATAATTATATTACCGCAACTCTTTGTTGATTTAAGCCTCCATTTGCGCTCACCAATATGTAACCGGATTTGTTGTGTTTCAGCGGCCCGAGATCTTGGAACATGTTACACCACAATTCGATCAATTCGCGCAAGTACCCGACTATTATATACTACATCTTTCGTTCTTTTTAAATTGCAACATTTTCATTTTAACATTTGCTAATACACAACTTTTACTACTGATATATTTCTTTTTTTTTATATTATAAAAGACATGTTATGAAAATTTACAATTTCAAAAAATTGTAAATTTCTAATACATTCATAAAAGGAATTTTATTAATTTATGGAATTTCATCAATTTATTTATGGAATTTTATCAATTCGGGATCTGAAAGATAGTCAAAGTAGAACATGTGAATAATTTAAAATGAACATGTTACGTCTTTTTAAGAACGGATGTAGTATTGAATAGATTAATAGATGAAAAAATGACATAAAAACACTGCTAACTTATGAATGCACATACTAAAACACGGGTAAGTTATTAATCAATTTATGAAAGTATCCTTGACACATAGTAGTAGTGTGCATCGCAATGCACTTATGTTAGGATGCACCACATATTATTAGCTCTTGATCTTATAGCAACAGACACATGAGATGATTTTTCACCCTGTAAGGGAGGAGCACTTTGTAGTTTGTATGTGAATTTGACCCTATATATTATCAAATAAAGAGAATATTAATGATGTGAAAAAATAGAATGATTTTGGTGTATTGAATTTGAGATGTGATGATTCCAAAATGCAGTAGATTGGGTTAAAATGCGGTGAAATTTTCATAAATAGGTGAACATTTTTGCCACTTCGAAAAATTGCAATATTTTGAGCCTGAATGTGCAGTGTATCGAAATAAAAGTGACAATTTCACACTTTTCACGTTAAGCACTCCTTTTATTGCAACCACAACCGAGTGATTCCAAATTTCCAATAAGAACAACTCTTAGTGTGATAAATAAGAACAAATTTTAACCACTCCAATTTTAATAAATTTTAATTAATAGACGGATGGATGATGCCTCATACACCTATTTTGTTAAGGACAAGCACAAGAGATGATTTCCCTCTTTAAAAAATCAATCTAGGGTGTTTTTTAATTGTGCAGTTATCTTCTAGAATTAATTTGAATGTCTATGTTTTAGCTGAAATTTGGTATGAATAAATTAGACTTAATGAATAAGATGCTCAAAAAATTTCATCAAAAAATTCCATCAGGAACCGCCCTAAATGGCGACGGCCGGACAGAGTCTCTTATATAAAGGCTTACTTGACTTTTTTTATGTAAGTTCGAGAACCTGAACCTTTTCCCTATTTTACTAAGTACAGCCCCTAAACCACTCAATTATCTAATATACCCTTAGTCAATATAACGACCAGCATATATGTTTAGCGGAAGAATGACAGTGACGACAAGAATTGCAAGGAAGATGAGACTGCCGGAGCTCCCTCCTTCAATGAAGAGAAATTGGGCGGCAGCCGCACCACAGTGGCGGGCGATCTCACCGCCAGTAGTGCACTAGTGCGCTATGCAGCAAGGAACTTGCAGACTATTGCGGCCGGTCCCGACATGCGTCTGTGATCGCTAAAAAGTTTGATTAAGACAAAGATGATAAAGCAGGTCAGGGCTCCGATGGCGGAGATGTTAAGCAAATCTGTATGTTGCCATACCATGCTGCGTAGAGGCATATGGAGGCTTGGGGCATTGAGATTCCCATGTATCTGAGCATCACGAATTCACAATTAGGACTTGAGAATTGAAATTTTTGTTGAAATCCATTTGAAGATTTCAGGATTCTGGATTCGATTTGAAGATTTTAGGATTCCATGTCCTATTTGAAATCTGATTTGAAGATTTAATATATCATTTGAGTATTGTTAGGAGATGTGGCTCTCTGTAGTGGCTAATGAATTTCAAACGAAAATTCAGACAGGAAGTCAGAAAACGGCGTTAAAGTATTAGGGCATGATAGGAATTAAAATTTAGTACGAAAATAAGTGTGTGTATTTAGTAAAAAGAGTGTTGTGAATAGAATTACCCTTTCCCTATAAATAACACTACTAACTTATGAATGCACAAAACAAGACTCAATTTTAATAAATAATTAAAAACGGGTAAGTTATTAATCAATGTACGGAAGTATACTTGACGCATATGGTAACAGTACGTAATCCTAGGGGCGGGCATAAAACCCAAACCGAACCGGCACCGAACCCTCCCGTAATGGTATCGAACCGAATACCGGGTATTTAAACGGTTCTATATATTTTTGTCCCGTACCGAAACTGTACCGTTTGAAACGGGTACGAGAACGGTCCTAGATTTTGAGAACCAGAAAATACCGGACCAAACCGTTTGAAAATAATGCACTTGAATTTTTTTATATTTTTCTATACCAATTCAATAGATCTCTTTAATAGACCAACAATTTTATAGCCCAAGTATGTATTTGTGCGTCCTTAAAATAGCTAAATGTGAGTGTTTATATACGGAGTATATAATATAGAAAAATTACTATTAGCCCCCTGAGGTTATGTCATAATTATTAATGCAACCCTGCATTTTCAAAAACCAATTAATTACCCCCTGAGTTCGGATCATTCTCATTCTTTACCCCCTCAAGTTAATATTTGTCACATCAAATTTAATATAACTCTTAAATTCAATGAAAATTGTCTATGAAATTAATTTTTAAAGTAAAACATTGTTGTTGATCGTTATTTTTCTACTTAGATACTTCATCATGGAATAAATATTATTTAGAGTAGTTAAGGGATAATACTCACGAATAAGATATAAAATATCATGAATTTTATTTTTTTTATTTTAAAATATTAAATATCATTTAATATTATAAAACTAATAAACTTTTTACTTAAAAAAAAAACTTTTGTAAATATGAAATAATCACAAATTAGTAACAAAGTTAATAAAAAATTTAAATAAATCAAAATCTATGATACTTTAGGTCTTAGATCGATAGCTTTCAATTATTCAGATCCTATATCAACACATTCTATCTTTCAGGTCTCTTATTGATTCTAGACCTATCTTTTAGGTCATGGAATGGAATGATAAAATTCATTTTTTCCTGGTATTTCTTCTTTGCTACACACAAATGAAATATCATTAAGATTAATTCAACCGAATGAATTACAAATAATTATTTTATATTCACGACGAAGAAGTGTCTAGAGTGTTGATAACACATTTTTTAAACAACTTTCTTTGATGCATCCCATGAATATTACTCGCGAGTCTTCCTCAAAACTACTCTCATTAATAGTTATTCCATGATCGATTAGCTAATAAGTAGGAAAATAACGATCAAGAACATGACTTATAATTAATTTTATAGGCAACTTTCATTGAATTTAAGAGTTATATTAAATTTAATTTAATTAACAAATATTAATGTGAGGGGGGATATAGTGAGAATGATCAAAACTCAGGGGGTAACTAATTGTTTTTTGAAAATGCAAGGTTGCATCAATAATTATGACATAACTTGAGGGCGCTAATAGTAATTTTCCCTATAATATATATTGTTATTTTTCTTTTTAGATAATTTATGTTATATCTTGGTATGTATTGAAAGAATATTAAATTTTAGAAAAATCATTAATGACTTCATTTCTAGTAATGCTAGCGTACATGACTTTTTGTTGTATAGTTTGTGCAATTTTACAAATTAATTAATATGGTTTAAATCTTAGTGCTCAAGGTTCAACTATAAATTAAATTAGAACTACGGAGTAATATTTAACCTAGAATGAAGAAGAAAAACGTTGAGGATTTCTATTATATTCAACAATTTGATGATATTCTTTTTTATATTTTCATATGAACTAAGTAAATTAAGGATGATATTTATCTCGTGCGTCATCGTTTTGCTATACTCTTTCTTAATTGTGTTGCACTATTTGTTTATTTGTGAATTTTAGTCCTATATATGCAATTTCTTGTATTTATATCAACATTACATGTGAGTTGGTTGGTGTGATGATATCTACTAATTACAAGATTTGTTCAAATTTTTAGTATGTGTTTGGCATTGTACCGTACCGTTTTGTACCGTTCCGAAACGACATGGTACCGAATGGTTGCATCCTTGAAACCGGACCGTACCGGACCGTAGCGGACCGTTAAAAACCTCACGGGTACATTACGGGTTTTACTAATTTACCGGACCTTTCCGGACCGCGCCCACCCCTACGTAATCAATCCAGAGTAGTAGTGTGCATCACAGTGCACATATGTTACGATGCACCACCTATTATTAGCTCTTGATCTTATATCAACACACACACGCGATGAATTTTCACTTTGTAAGGGAGGAGCACAAAAAAAGGTGAAGTTGACACCAATAATCCATACTTTTACACATTTTACAGTAGTAATCCCTACTAATAAATTTCACAAAAATAATCAATACTAGTTAGCTGTTTCACAAAAACAATCCGAGTGCTAACGGTGTTAACTTTTCCGTTTTTTTAAGTTTTGAATATATCAAACCAAAAATATGTATAAAAATTAATAATATTATATTTGAGTTTAATCTTTTTCTACGATCAACTAATATATTTGAGTTTAATTCAATATTCTACATAATTGTATTAATATTTAATGTATTATTACTAAAACTACTTCGAAATCTCTATTATAATGAATAACAAAAATGAATCTTAATAAAATATGGACATAGAATGAAAGAGAATAGAGAATTTGAAGAGTATTATGTTTTGTGAAAAATATTTCTATTATGTTTTATGAAAATATTGAATATTAAATTAATTTTTTAGTAGAAACAAGATTAACTCCTCAAATATAGTAGTGTCATTGTTTATATATTTTCGGTTCAATATATTTAAAATAAAAAAATAACGGAAAACTTAACATCGTTAGCACTCGGTTTATTTTTGTGAAACAATTATATAGTAGGGATTATTGCTGTGAACTTTTCAAGTAGGGATTATTTTTGTAAAATGTGTAAAAGTAGATATTATCGGTGTCAATTTCGCCAAAAAAAGGGAGGCGCACTTTGTATGTGAA